TCATCTGAGCCAACACCCAATTTACAACCTTGCTGTGGATCCCTATCACCCAAATTCAGAATGGTGTATTGCTCTGCGTGGCAGCGGTAGCCCCGGGAACACCTGCCCCTCTCTGCTGCCTCGGAACCACCCACCATTTCCACTCCTTGCTACAAATCCCAAAGAACAACCCACTTCATTCAACCAGTGGAGGGTTATTGCCAGGAATAGTTTCCAAATATTGGAATACGCTCCCACAGAAGGAAGCCACTGCAATTCCTTCTGCTCTCAATTGCCTCAGCTACAATATTAATAATATTAACATTCAAAAAGCCACCTAAACTTGGTGGACAGGTTGCCAAACAAAAAGGATGCGATTCCTACATAGAGAACTTCTCAGTGGAGAACGCCAACAGATGCTTAGAAGGAAACTGATTCAAGAGCACGCTTACAGAGCTGCACCAGCCACTTTCATGGTAAGAAGAGCTTTTCTTGAGATCCTTACCCAGCTCTGGGCTTTTACAATGGAGTGCACCCAGAGGAGTACCCTCCTGCTGCCGTGCAGATCAATCAAAAGTGCACAAACAAAATCTCAGTGAAACAGATAAAGTTAAGAAGCGAGTAATGAATGTTACTAAATACTAAAGCAAGCAGGAAAATGTAAATAATGTTTGCTTTTACCTCATTTCTAAGTAGTCTTAGGTATTACATATAATACAGTTAATAAACACCGCAGCTCTTGCAGGAACGACTTTTAAGCCATGAATTTTTGGATGAAAATGTTTAGTATTAAAAAATGATGGATCATTACACCAACAGCAAACAGCTAATTCTAGTTAGCATTTCCTATAAAAAAAAAAAAAAGCCAAACAGTTGATTTTCCAAACAAGTACAATATAGATGTACGTAAATGGACGTATAGGAACCACCTGAATAGTTGTTGTTACATAATATATAATTCTAACATCATAAACATAAACCTGTGATACATATATCTGTAAGTATTCTAAGTGTTTTTTAAAAAATTGTACAAGCACCACCACTTTATAATAGGCACAGTGAATCACATTAAAAAGTGCTAAATTACTTCACTCGGTAACACTACATTCAGCGTGCTTTTTAAAAGATTTTTTAAATATTTTGTTCTGTAACACTTGCATACTAGTGTCTGGATGTTGTCTTTTGCTCTTTAAAAAATCTTTAAAATTAAAAATCTTAAAATTTTTAAGTATTTGTGCACAGGTGTGCAGACAAAGGGCTGGAGATCACTTTTTTTCTCACAAAAACACCATATTGTAGTGATAACTGGAACAACTTCTAGATCTTTATAAAATAAATTAAGCCGGTTTGTCATCCTTTCCTTACCAAAAACTACATGAAAAAACTGTTGGAGAAAACCTAGATTTTCTTCATTCTTACACACCTATTCCTCTGCCTAATATTCAACCCTCCAGTCTCAACCCATTTTCACCTGATTTACTCCCTACTTTAAACATTCTTTATAAAGCCTACCTAATTTTCTCCCTGCTTTCAACCATCTTCATAAATCCTAGAATCTGGTGAAAAATGAAAATGGCCAGTCTTTTTTGAATGTCACTTCTCATATAAAGCCAGAGCAACACAATTACAGGGTTTTTAAAGAGATATTTTATTACAAAATATAGTGAGGAGAAGCAGTTAAATGGGAAGAAAGAGTGATTCAGTTGGGAACAATTAGCATTTTCTATATAATTGCTTCACAGAAAAATATGAGAGTTATTTCTACAGAGTCTCAACTTGCAAAGCTTCAGTGGTTTTATTGTCCCCACCCATTAAATATATTTGGTAGCTGGCTGTAACCACACTTACACTGTTGCAATCAAAATTTTAAACTCTAAAATGCATCATTGTTGTAACGAGCCTTCAGGCAAAAGCAGAGATTAACATTTCTCAGAGAGAGAAAAACAAAGATTTCATTCCACAGGCTCTCAGTCTACAAAATCTGATTTCCAGAGATAAATACTAATGGAGAATGTGTCAAGATGCCAATTATCACGCTGCAGTTTTCTCAAACATAATCTTGTGCAACAGAAAAACACTGGTTTTCTTTTAAATTATGCTTTGGGTATTTGGAAAATACCCTGGTACAAAGAAAAGACAAGAGTTAACGCTGCTTTGTTGCATGAGATTACGCAATAGCTTGTTGAATGAGCCTGTAATTCCAAAATATCTTCAGGTCATTTCATCAAGGGAAACCCATAAAAATTGCGTGAGTTCCCGCCCTAAAAGACTAAGCAGAGATTAAGTTCTCATTTTTGCTGTCACCACATTGTAAGCGCATCCTTTTGCTATTTCAGGAAGCACGAATTTCATTAGCCTTAACACCTACAGTAGTCAACAATGAGATCAATTATAAAACCTGTTAATCAGCATTTCTGTTTACCAGAAAAAAAGGCACCAAATATGCATACATTTTTATTACCTCCCTTATTAAAGAAATTCCAGCCCTCAAAACAAAGTTTGATATCTATGTTACTGAATATTCTTAAAAATTTAGGGCATACTGATTAAAAATCAACAGAGACTGGGATTATTATCTCTGCAGTGTAGATAAGGCTTTCAACTTTTGTTACCCGTAATCGAGCTTCACCACATAACAGATACCTACGAGTCAGAGGTGTTAATTAAAGACATCAAACATGACACCTCTTACCTCAATGATTCTAAAACTTACAAAATTATTGCCAAAGTTTACTGTTTAATCTCTCAGCAATTAACATCGCAGACACATCTCTTGAAGAAAGCCTACAATACCAACAAAACAGGAAGAAAATCTCACTCTTCCTACTCCATCAGCAGCAACATCCACTACAAACCCATCACTAGTCACTAATCATGTTTTGCTGAGTTTGGCCCAAGCTAGTAGAAAACACAAGACAGATGTTTCTGGAACTCTGCTGTTTTTCTTTGCTATATTAAGATCCGTGCAGGACTTGGCTGTGCAGAGACAATTGGGTTCCCTAGAAACCCACCAGTGACTCCCAAGACAGTCCCTCAGAAACACTGCTGGGTTTCCTTTAAAGCCAGATTTTCTTCAATGAAGAAAATGAGGACTTACAGACTCATTTTGATCTTAAAGTGCTTAAACCTTCAAATCTGCTCCTAGAACTTTTCCAAAGACATTTAACTTCTGGTGCTTGTTAAAAGAAGGTTGGGAGGTTTTGGGTTTGTTGAGGTGAGCAGCCTCATCAGACTATAAAATGAACCCAATTTAAAGGTGTTGAGATTAAAAAGCCCTCTCTGGAGGCAGCAGCAACTTTGAATTCAAGACAAGGCCTAGGGGACTAGACGTTGCCTAAGAAAACTAAGAGCTGTCTCTTTACATGGCACAAAAGACTCTACCTGTTTCCTTATCAAATATGAAACCGTGTCAAATGCTTAATATTACTGTTTTGTAATGTCTTGAGTGAATCCAGAAATTTCTGGTCAATTTTGCTTAAACAGAAATCCCTACCAACTCGTCAGCGGGAGAGACTATGGGTACAGGCTGTCGAATTAGACCTTCCTTCTCAAAGAATGCCAAGTGAAATTATCAGCATTGGTTTCCATTCTTGAAGGGTTCCCAGCTGCTAGACTGCAAGGTCTCAGCTGCAAACCTGTCGATGTAGGTGGAAATCCACTAGACCTCCACGGAGAATTGCGCTATTTGGGACTGTTAACATTTCAAAGCAATGTTAGATACACATCAGTAGGATATCCCTGTTGTTGGCTCCTACCCAAACACTTCCCATACATCAACATCACTCCTACACGTGATATTCCTACAAAGTTTCCTTTTTCTTTTTAACAGTTGGAGACTAAGAGAACTTTTTATGCTATAACTAGAGCATTGGATCATCTCAACCCCTCTCAAAACCTTGCTAAGTTCTTGGTGTCCCAGAGCAACTTCCAGCAGCAGTCCTTTCCACAGTGTAATTATTCATATCTCACAGAAATGCCTGAGGACTGTTTAAGAAAGGAAAAAAAAAATCAAATAGTTTTACAGACATTGTTACACTTCATAGATACTACTTGAAGGTTCTAGCAGAACAAAGGAAACAAGCAGATACCAAAATTACAAAAGAGAAAGGAAGACATGGGCTATGACAGAAAAATTAGAACACTACAGGAAAACATACCAAGTGCTAAGATCAGGTAGATATCACACGGCAAGTCCAGTGACCACCTCTGTACTTGGGAGCTAGAGTTTCGCAGCAAGACTGAAGAACCTAAAATGCTAAAGGCAAAAATCGAGGAAGGACATGCTTTCGTATTTTAAAACAAAATCAGAAGGCTTTCATAAAGGAAGTCAACTGTAGGAGTAATAATCCTAAACCGAATTCACCTAATGTTTTAAAATTCACTGAGTGCAAATGTTCATAATGTCTTATCCATAAAGTAATCATACTGTTGAAAGCATGGCTTCTTACCATATTTAGGTTTCAAGTTGTTTTTTCGAAAAAACTAAAAAAAAACCAAAAACTTTATGATAAACTGTGATACAGCTTTTGTCTCCCTGGTGCTTACTGATGATCCACTTGCTCTCTTTATGCGCAGTCTGCAGCAATGAATGAAAAGATGGTGGTCTTTAATGATTCTGTCTATGCAGAAGAGAACATGTACTCATATCGAAATATCAGAAGTTAAATCTATTTTGAAGTCAATTCCCTCTGTTTGTGTAGAAGCAGCGCTGTCACGTCCTTCATTACCTTGTCCTGGGAAGGGTGTACTTCAACTCTGAAGTATGGGAAAAGGTCATTTCTATCTAACCGATGGAACGATACTCACTACATTCCTGAAGGAGAAAATTAGTATAGTGGAAATACACAGACATCTCTTGTGTGTGTGTACAAACACATGCACACTTGAAGAATTTAATCTGAATGCAAAAACATTTCCAGCAGTTCAGGCTGGGAGCTTCCCAGTATGGGTGACAAATCCAGTTAGAATTTTAGTCAGACAATATTAATCCTCCTTTAAACACAAGAAGTAGTCAGCCTGGATTAAAAAGAATTTTGTTTTATTTGGACAAAGGCACACAGTCTTTATTGTTAGATTAAACATGTATCTTTTACCTGCAATAGTAAGAATCTCAACATTATTTTAATCTGATATCACAAATAATATCACAACTAGTCAATGTTCAAAACTAAAATGGATATTCAGTTATTTATAGCTTAATGACACTTCAACTTCCTCAATGCATAAAATGGATATTTTTAAAAAAATTACTCCCGCATTATGATTGGGACTACTTTCAGAGGAAAACTCAACTACCACAATTTTTACAGAACAGAAAAATCCCAACTAGCCCTGAACAAGAACAGTTACACCAGAAATAAAAGCAAAAGGATTAAATTAACAGGGTAACGTACATCTGCTATAGTACAAGGAGAAATGGTAGACATAGATTTGCTACAGTAAGTCAACATACTTAGAAGATCATGAATGCTACTAAAAAACACATGAAAGTCCTTTTTGTCCTGGATATATTTAAGTAGTCCTAAAGAAATGCTTAATAACAGAAGTAGAAATGTTTCTAGAAATGCTGGTGTTGATACCTTTTGCAGATACCGACACCAGAATGACTGGCATGGAACAGATCTGTAGTGAACTCCTACACCAAATTAAATGACAAGATCCAGAATTCATTTGTTTCAATTTTAAGAAAATTTTTGAGTATAACACTTATCTCCTCAGTCTCAGCAGCTACAGGTACCAGCACAATTATTATTTTTTTTATTGTACTAAGATTTTAAGTGATGGCTTGTAATGGTAACTTCTCCAACTAAAATGGTTGTTTCTTATTTAAGTTATCAGATGTTTATGATCGTTAATACTGATGCAAATGAACCAACTCAACCAACATCTTTGTAAAGGGTCTGAGCCCAAGAAATACTGACACTCAGCCATATGTTAATGGTATCCATAGTTATTACTCATGTCTTTATTTCCCAATAATTACCTTTCCTCTTCGCTACTAATACTGATTTGTTTCAATTCAAGCAGGAAACAACCAGAAAGGACTTACAGAAAATCTTAAGATAGCTGGAGTCAGTGTAACTCTGCTCTTCTAGCAAATTATTAAAAGGTAATTTGATCTCCAGTATTCCTTTTGGTCTCTCTTATGGTAGCAAGTTTCCAAGCTGTAATGATACCAGGCAAGTTGAAAAGAGCTTTGATGTAGGTTAATCAGTTGTTTCAATGTACTAAAACCCCTTTACTGTTTGGAGTGCTTATGCCAATCACAGATCTTTCCACAGCTAGTTTTTAGTACAGCTGAATAATAATAATATTAATAAAATAATCATGAGGTTAGACTTCCTACTTTGGAAGTAATTGATTCATTTCTTGTTACCTTCTTTTCTCACTCCACCTCTCAAATTCAGAGCCAATCTAACAGAGAAATAATTATCTCTGAATGTGTAAATACAAATCTGGTAATCAACCAAGAAAAATTTTGCTTAAAAGAGAAGAAAAAACACTCACTTGCAAATACAAACTGTACTATTTCAGTTAATGTATACATCAAGTAACACTGAAATTAAACATGGCCATGTAGATATTTAAAAAATGAAAAATGAGCCATTTTGAATTACCGTGTAAAAATCACCAACATTTATATATGGTTAAACTTATTTGAGGAATAAATCCCATAAACACCAGTGCATACTATCAATGACAAAAATATTTCTGCACAATTTTTACCTTCAGCTCTGGAAGTAGTACATGTTTTCTATACAACAGTATGTGACCATAACAGGAGTACCATTTTGCATTATCAAAATAGGAATTATGTGCTGTTCACTATTAAAGTATCTTGGAAAAAAAAGCTGTCTTATTTGCTTTAGTCAATGGGAGTACTTTTCTGTTTAGATTTCCTAGATGACCCAAGTTACCCAGAAGCACAGATGCTAGACCTAAGCGGCTTAGTATGGATTTTAAGACATGAAAGTTCAGAAATCTCCAAGAGACTTGCCCATATCATTAATATTGCATACTAACACCCCATCCCCATCCCCTGCTCTAGTAAATTAGTTTAGCCTAGGTACATTAATACCCATATTCATTCAGGAATCATATAGCCTTCCCAAGTGAGGTGGTTCCCACTTCTAGCAGTCTCTCTGATTTAAATCACAGAATTGAGAACAATACAGGTGTTGGTCTGGCAAGGACGTGGACATGGATTAGTGAATCCCTGGTAAAGTAGCTAATTTAGCACCTTCAAATCACCTACGATAAAAACTTATGCTATGTTTGAGCTTGACTATAAGGGTAGCCCACTGAAATAAAAAGATAATGGCAAGTAAAGACTAGACAATTATTAACATTCTAGGTAATACATCATTTTTCCTAGAATCTACTAAATTTCTTCTAAGAGTCTGATAATGTAAGTAATAATTGATAGTTATTGACATACTTTTTTCCAAAAAGCCATCAAAATCTTCCGAACTGTCAGCAGAAGTGTTATGCTTCAAGATACAATTTGTGGGAATTTTTAAAACCATGAAGAGTTCTACATTTGTATAATAATACACAACAGCAATCATGTCCTGAGGTACTTTATGTGTGAGTTCCCAACAGTTCCTTTCTTCTGCCTGAAGCATTACCCGTTTCAAATATTTGGAAATATTTGGAAACCTCCCTTGCCAGTACTTCTTCCAGGTAGGGTGTATCAGAAGTACTTCTGCCAAATTTTCCTGTCAGTTGGATGTCCAAGTTAAAAAATTCTCATTTTGGCATTACTGCTGCTAAATTGTAATCAGTACACACGCAAACGAAGAAGAAGTGATATGAAGACAATTCTTAATGTTGTTATTATTATGTTTATGTTTATGAAATATCTCATTTACAACTTCGTATTAATATTTGTGTGTTCTGCATTAACTCCTTAATGATGCTGTAATATGTCTGACATCCCATGCCATAAATCAGTGTATTTCCTGCTTGGTACACAGAGAAGGAAATCAGATGTTCTTCCAGAGAAAGTTTCATATTTATTCAGAAGGCATACATCTCAACTGTTGGGTTTTTTATTACTTTAATTTCATTAAACTGATAAATTAAGGGACTTCTTACCATTTGAGTAATACTAAAAGCAGTATTCATATTGTAATTCAAAAGCCCCTATAAACACCCCCCCCCATTTAAACCCCTGAGAAAAGGTTTTAAATGGCATCCCATGGGTTCTCATCCCCTGTGAAGGAAAACATCAAGGCATCCTGGAATATAAGTGTCTTGAAAAATACTTCAAAGCTTTGAAAAGTTCTTCCTCATTAGAATATACAGATGATAACCTATCCTATATTCAAAACAACCCAAGGTGTAACAATAATAGCTGGGTTTGAAATTTAAGAAACTCTTACAGTCATTAAACCCATCTTATGAAAACAATTGGCAAATCTGAAAAGGTGATTGTTATTTTATATTAGTTACCTTTAAATTTTAAGGTAACAAAAACTATATGCATGCAACTTACTGACACCAAACTTGTCAAGAAAAAGCCTGGACTCTTCAAAATGTTTTTATTTCTAGTGTCCTGACTCAAATGACATATACATTTATTCTTCTCAGGAATTAAAAATGTGCTGCACTAAGATGAAATAAAGTACATCAAATTTCAGCCTGACAAGAATTTTAAGAAGTGTTAACTGAGGTCTGTAGTTAATGTCAAATGAAAATTTTATCTACTATCATGTTATAGAAGAATTAATATGCAGTCATAACTGGATTGTAACATCTGAACAGGCACATTTAAACACCTTGTTAGTTTGAAATCAAGGATAAAAGGGGTTTTTTAAACCACTTGATATTTCAAAAGGACAAGAATCGCTTGTATGCTTCTCTACTTTGTTATGTACAAATATTTTCACCCAGCTTAAAAAACAAAAAGATCAAAAAACTCACATTGATTATGATCACTACAAATTTTAAGATGACAGCTTTAAATATAAGAGTATTGCAAAAAGTGTCTTTGCTAACATGAAAGCTCCAGGCTTTGTTTGAATTCTCAACACAGCAAACAAACTTACTGTCTGATAGCAAACTTGCATTTCAGCTTTAAAATAAACTGCAGTGCACAAGTTCAATATGATTCTAAGAACTCATTAATGCTGATAACACAGGCAATTTGGTTTTTTTTTGATTTTGCCTTTTTTTTTTTAATAAAACCTCCCCTTCCTGCCAGAATACTGTTATACAGAGAAAAAAAAAATGCTACTCTCTACTATTGTCAGTCTTTCAAATAAAGTAAAAAATACCCTCAACATACAAGAGTTTTAGAGAAAGTAATCAACCTGCAAAATGTTATACATCAGTAATAAGGCATCCACTTTACAGTTGTTTAAACAAAAAGCAAATATTTCCCAAAATATATATTTTGGACCTGTGTAAACAAAGCTTATACGCATTACTTCCATTTGTTTCAAAAATATACACCCACATGGACTGAAAGTGATCTTGGTGCTATGATCTTTAAATTACTGTATTTATCCAGATGTAATCTGAAGATACAAAACCCAAATAAATTTTAACTTCATATTTTGAAATATGTCAAAAAATGTAATTATTCTTATGTGAAAAGAAAGCTAAAAATATATCCAAAATTTCATGCCATTTCATTGAATGAAGAAGAAAGTACTATGAAAATAAACATTCATCTGGTTTCCTAACAATAAATATAAAGACAGTTATTATAACATACTGCAACACAGGAAGTCTTACTATATTGACCTTAATGTTCAATCAGTAGTTTTTAAATCTTTCCTCATTGAGGCTTGAATCTTCTACCTTGTCAGCTGTCCAACAACTTTTAAGAGGGTTTTATTTTCTTGCTTCAATTGTTCATTTTCATCTTCTATATCATCTAGGTCCTGTGAAAGGAAAAAGAAACATTTCTCAGGACATAAATTCAAACTCTCAATTAGCAGCAGCATGAATTTAGCATCTTAGCTCTGAAATGAAGAAGTTGGGGTTGGGAAGAATTAGTGTCACAGTAGTTACCCTTAAATCTGTTGAGCTACCCTTAAATTTGTTGAACCACCCTTAAATCTGTTGAACCACCCTTAAATCTGTTGAAACGGCCTTTTCCCAAGTGTTACTGTAATTACAAAACATTAATAATATATTCCCAGGTACAAACACCTTTAAACGGAAACTTGTAATCAAAACTAAAGCTACAGCAGGAATTAACGCATCAAGAAACCAAAGTAGGATGGGTGTGATTATTTCATTGGCATATAAAGAGAGTGTATTAGTCAGCTCTTGCCTCTGCTCCCCAGACTGTGATTGTCTGCAACTGTGCTGCTCACATACACACATCACAGGTTATTACTGCAAGAACTGCTTTTTGTTTTAAATCAAGTATCAAAACCAGAAAAAAGTACTGCCTGTTCATTTTCATTTTCTGTGGAAAAAAACCAACAGACATTTTGTAACTTATGTCTAAACTGCTACCAAGGAACAGACAGCATACACAGTAATAATGGGTGCTCCCACCCCAAATGTTCATCCCTCTTGCACCAATTACCATTTCACTTCTTTGCTTCTCACCATGTCTTTTCAAGCCTTTAAAGTGGAAACCAGTGAAACTGGCTGTTTAACGTAAGCATGACTCTGGTAAAAATCATTTTATTGTATATGACCCTCCCTGTCCCCGAAAACATGGAAGAAACAGAATGAGAATGAAAAAATGAAGGAGAGTGACCTCAAGGACAGCACAACAAGGAGGAAATGAAAATTAGGCAAAGGAGGAAGAACCGGGATTCTCATTACAGATCCTGGATGTCTTTTGATTGAAGTCTGCAAAGCCCTACTGTTGCCATGCTAGATTAAACATAAAACAATAGTAAAGGTTTTCTCTCTCTTGTTCCTTCCAGTTGTTAAGCGGCGTTTGACATTCAGAGCCTATTTTCTTCTTCCTTTTTAGCAGGCTCCATCCAGAAGTATATGCTGGAGATGTGTTTAGTTGGTATCATGATTTTTTAAAGCCTCTTCAATTTGCCAAGCCAAAATCTATACCGCAATACTTTGAAATTACTTTATTGTTTTTGTAATGTGGAATTGAGAAACCGCTAGCAGAAATGCCTCTTTGCCTCACAGAAGTACCCCAGCTTCATCACAGGACGAATGGCTTCCAGACATAACAGATACAAGAGACTTAAACATCTAAACACAGAAAGTTTTGATGGATTGCTACAAATACAGTTTACTGTAACTGTAAGAAGCACACTTTGTTTTCTTTCTTGTGCGGTTCAGATCAATAATCAGGTGGATTTCAATAAAATCATAGGGGTTTATTTCAGCATACATAATACTTTATCTGAACCTGCTGACATAGCCATCAGATGCCTTAGCTTATCTAAAAACCTTCTGTTTAAAATACCTGTAATTTACTAAAAATAAAATAGTAAAAGCTTGTGAAATGTTTATGCTGCAAAAATAACATTCCAAAGATTATTACAAGTAAGCGTTCCTTGAATATGAGCCAGCAAAAATAACTACTGCAGTTTAAATATCTACAGAAACAATGGACTGAGAGATGCAGGTGTAGTTTTTGCCACTCTGAAATGTAAAGTTTCTTGTTCAAAATTCAAAATTGCAACACTAATTTATGCTTATTAGTAAAAAAGCTGCAATAGCAGGAAAGCTTGGACTTCACATACCAAAGGAACCAATAACTACACAACTGACACTAATTGGATTATAAATCCTCACTGACAGACTCTCTCCAAACACCCACTCAACTACAATGACATCTTAGTGAGGTCAGAGATGACGAAGTGTAAACTAGTCAACAGTAGGACTTAGCCTACTAAAATATAAATGTCTTGAGACGCCTTCCCCTACAGACATTTGAGGTTTTTATGAAGCAATTACCCTTTTTTTTTTTTTACAAAAACCATGGCAGATCTACTTTTAGTGGCTAATTTACTGCAGTGAAAGAATGCCATTTATGGCAGAAAACCTTCTCCATTTCTCTATATAGATGCAGCTCATGTTCTTTAAGTATCTTTGTGATGTACTGATTGGTCTCAGTAAAAATATATTGGTACATTAAATAAATATATGTACTTAAAATGAGAAAAAGTCTGCCAAGAAGTTTTCAGGATTCTTGGAAACACAGTTTTTCAAGATCTTTGCCAGCCAAGGATGCACCCATGGTTACGGACTACCTCTTCTAGAAAGAGCATTTCTGAAAATATGAGGACTGAGCAGTCAGAAAGTTGTGCAATAAAGTGGCATTTTAATAAGTTATTTAGACTTTTGATGTGAAATTCTTTCCATATCTGTGCAACTTAACAAGCAATAACTGCATATTTTGATGAATAGAAACAATGAAGATATACCATAAATGTGTAGGTGGTGAAATTTACAGACCCCTATTTAGGTTGCCTGCCAGCAAAACTTTTTAAAAAGATCTCTGCATAAACTTACTAAGTAAAGTTTAGTCCTCAGGACATCCTTTCATCTGAGCAGGAGACTGAAGATCACAACTGTTCTTCCATGCAAAGCATCCAATCCTGATGCTAAGTCTAGAGAATAAGGTTCCACAAAGAACAGACACATATCCAAGTGCTGGCTCTCATTATCTCGGTTATGATAATAAACCTTAGGCAAATATAACTGCCCTATTAACTTCCATAACCTTCTACCATGGGAATGATGTGGTATTTCTGTAGTTTTTCTTAATATTCTAAACCTTTCCTCTTTCCAAAACCATGTGGATAGCCAATAAGCAATCACAAATCCAAGAGCTATTAAAAAAGAAAATAAAACTGTCGCTGTTCTAATGGAAGCATCACTTGAAACATGGGTTCAAACTTTTGTAAGACGACAAACTATGCTGGTCATAAAAGTCAAAAGGCAGTTATTTCATCGTTAAGAAAAGTCCAATGGATGCAAACATAAATAACTTGCACTGCAATTAAGCTAACAGACTATGTTGTAGTTATGATAAATGCTGACGTGATGGAGAAAAAAACCCAACATGTTCTCTTCTGTGTTTAAGAGAAGCTACCTAAGGAGCATCAATAAGATGGCCTTGTAGATCTGATGGAAAAGTACCATTTTAGTCATTGCATAATAAAGAGGTTTTTGAAGGTACTATATTCTGTTTTCCTTCCACACAACAGGCAGAAATTGCTATTATACTTAACAGAGGCAAGACACAGGCCCTGCTTGGCTTTACTACAGATGTTCATAGATGGTTTCTAGTCAGAAACTCGATGGATTTAATTTAGGACATCATACTTCTAATATAGCAGAAAAAGGTAACGCAATTTCTGGAACAGTAAACCTCACAGTCAGTCATCGTCATAAACCACAAGCTTTCAGTGATTTATGTTCCTTTGATTTGTTCTTTCTGACCTCTGAGACAGAAGTCAGGTGTGACCAGCAGTATTAAGTAGCTTTGCCATCCATTATGTAGAAGGAATGAATACCTGCCTTGACTGTAGTAAGGTCATCAGCTTAGATGTGACAGATTCCTTGCAGAATCAAAGAACGGCATAAAGAGCAATTCCTCAATTAAAATAGAAATCTCTCCAAACCAGACAAAACTTCGTGTAAGTACAAGATTAACTTCCAGCTTTCTTTATAAAAAATAAAAGATATCTCATTTCCTTTGATGCTCTAAATTAGGTTGCAAACCTGTGAATGCTGTCCTCCTGTTATAAATGAATAGTGCAAAATGAAAGTTTGCCACTATGCACACAGAGTTATTACCACCCCTCACTGCTGATTGACCAAAGCCAGTTCTGATTATTTTTTTTTCTGAATTTTTATGGAAACGTCTGCACAGGACTAGTAGACACACATTTCCCTAATACATCCAGGCTCTGCACCTCAGCCAGGAAGAGCAAGATGAGGTCACTAATTCACTCTATAAAAGAGTTCCAGTCTGCCCTTAAAGTTGGGCCTAGTTAAAATTGGTATCTTCCATCAACTTTAAAACTTCTCGTCGTGTCCCATTCCCAAGCATGTCTCACTCTTCTGCCCCTCTTCTCCTGCCTACACACCTTGCCTGAGTGATCCCAGCCCGAGTCTCCTGCCCCCTGTCTTGTTCTGCCTTTACTTGGGAATCAACAACAAAGAGTATGAGAATGTGTGTCAGAATATAAAGCGCTCACTCCCAAATATTTTAAGGTCATCTAAACTATTATTAGTAATTAAAAGCTGACTAAAATGAAATTTAATTTAAAATTAATTGTCAAATAAAAGTACTGGGTAACAATTTAACTGAGAAAACTCTCATAACCCCAAGGTAATTATTTCCTGGTATACAAAGTACTGAATTTGGAAAGAAGAGGCAGTAAAGAACACTTGCTTTTATAGCCTTGTTCTACGAACATTTATAGTGACAAGAAACTCAGGTACTCCAATGACACAGAACTTACAGAAGTTAATTTTGACAAACAGAAGTTACCTGTAAAAAATATAACTTATTGGCATGCCTCTTGAAAAGTTACACAAATACCAAAAAAAACCCCCACACTTAATTCTATTCTGACCTTGCCCAGTGGATACAGGTGCCTGAAGAAGAGTACAGAGAATGCAGAGACTTTTATTCCCTCTATATAGCACAATGTAAGAAAGTATGTGCTTACTCTGTTTAATAAATCAATTTCTTCCTTCAGCTTTCCAATTAGTTCCTCTTTGTCCTGTGTCATCTTCATTAATCTCGCGTTTTCTTGTCTCTCCTTTGCAAGTTCCTAAAACCAGAATATACAATGAAGTTTGAAATTTAACTTTTGGTCTTAAGAGAAAGTTTTAAGTTATTACCATTTAAAACAAACAAACAAAGAAGAAAAAGTCACACACATTTAATTCCTTTTCTGCAGCAAGTCAAACCCATGTCTTCAAGCCCTTACATTTCAAGGAGCTAAAGAATCACGTCTAAGAAAACATTTTACCCACAGCAACCCGTGTGATATCTCTGATTCCAGATATAATGTTTTAATTAATATTTAACTTAAGCATGAACCCAAAATTGGATAGGGGCCCAAAGCAGAAGTAAGTAAATGTAAAGTATCAGCTTCTGAATTCGTTATATTGGGAGGGTTTGTCCTTTTTTGGGGGGCTTGTGGGTTTTTTTAATACTACTAAATCAGGGTTCAGGATACTGAAAGAAAGCCCTTAAATCTTCCTCTGTTTTCTGTGTTATTGGAAGTTAAATTATTTCAGAATTAAGTTGATTTGGAAGGGAGGACTATGGTGTACTTCACTCAAATCAGGCTTCCCCAAGTATTTTTTTTTTTAAAAAAAAAGTGATTTCTACAAAATATGCTCTATCTTAATCTTTTCCAAGAAAGATCTATTCAAATTGTGTTTACTTAGTGACTGTCATACATACAAATTTAAGAATATTTGGCAAGTTACTCACAAAAATCCACTTCAGAGAAAACAGAGAAGGCAGATTACACAGATGACATTATTTAGCAAAATACTGTTTTAGGTGGAAAATTCAGCTTTAACATTATTACATTTTCCCAAAATTGTTTGCATGAAGAATGTCTGAAATAATGAAAACTTCATTTTAAATATGTATTTTCAATATTTAAAATTTTAACTAACAACTGGATAGCAATTAAATTTCATAATACTTTAGTACATTAAAAAATCCAAACCAAGAAGCAGATCAGAAACAGGCCTGCTAATTTTCTGAACTGCCAGTGAATCCTTCCTTCCCCAAGTTATTTGTCCTGTGTTGGTGCGTCATAAGGTATATATGAGAAGAACACAGTGCACTTTTTTCTAAGTGTATTGTCTTTACCTCAACTATTTCTCACTTATATACCAAATGAAAACTAAACATCTGTGATTAGAAAGTTCACATTCTTCGCAGTCTGACTCTTTATATATTTTTATAGACATAACTATCTGTATGTCAAGCATTTAGCATCATTTCTATATATTTTACTTGCGAATTTCCCCATGGAGTTACAGAAGTACTTTATTTCAGATGTATGCCTTGCAGATGTTAGATGGTACTTACCCTTTCAAGTTCCTCAATCCTCTTTTCCAGAGCGTTACTTGGTATGGAACCGCCTGAAGAATTTGCATCCCTGCTGTATCTGCTGTAAGTTGTCCTGTCTGTTCGGGAATACCTATTTGGAGCATCATCTTCTGGTGCATTAGCTGTGCTGCAAGGGCAAAGAGCAAATTCAACACTTAACAAAATGCAAATGATGGAAGCAACAAGTGCTTTCCAAAGCACTCAATAGGTCAGTCTAATAAACTGCAGAGAACCCATTTCACAGCTCTCGTGTTGCTGAGAACTCACTGCCCTGGAGTCAAATACTTGGATAAGGCAGCTCTCATCTCCATCAGTAGTAAAATATCAATAGTAAAAACCAATCTGGTTTTTAAAGATTTAAAAGTTTTATGAACTGTGCACATTAAAAACCAAGCTAAAAAACTTTATTTTTAAAGAGCAATGTACCACTAGGAAGTTTAAACCAAGCATCTTTTTAAGTAGATGAAAACAAAAAGGATGAAAAACAAGTACATGTCCAAAAGGTAAGAAGCTTACACATATCAACGGACTTTTCAGGAACTATGGATATGGCCTGTAAGGAACTGGAAAGCAAACCAAAATGAGAAAATGGCATGGCCCAACATATTAATTTTATACCATTTCCAAATATTTTACTTCAGTACTTGGATACACAGCAGTTTGTCATAGCTCAGTTGGTAGGCACTCACTCATTCACTGGTGATAAGTTTTTTGGTTTTGATCATGTGTCTCTTCCTTAAAAATCACTGCCATGGAATCTTAACAGGTAAGCACTGCAAATCCACATAAACAAGCCTTAAAAAAAGCTTACGTGTTCTGCATTTTGATTGCTATGTACAAAACCAGTGTTAATTAAAAAATATATGAGAAGTCGAGCATTTTCAAAGTCACAAATTTAAGTGTTCTCCCCTTAGCTATTTCCTCCCCAATAGTGATGTTATTTACTGTTATTTACCTTCAATGTAGAATCTAATCAATAATTAAGACCAGCAGAACAGAGTGCCCTGGGACCAGGCAGAGAGATGCAGACCTTTCACTCCCCAATCCACTAAACCCACACTCCTTTGACTTTGAAAATACAACTAAACAGCCAAAGACTAAAAACCCCTTGTTCACTCTTCTCCAGAAGAATTCAAATGGAGACACTCAAAAGCCACCTGGACATGGTCCTGGGCAACCGGCTCTACGTGGCCCTGCCTGAGCCAGGGGGGTCGGACAGGAAGGCCTCCAGAGGTCCCTTCCAACCTCAACCAGCCTGTGATTCTGCAAAATCACACAGCTGAAATACATATACAATGGCTTTCTAGGGTACTTAGGAAAAGAATGAAAAGCACTAAGAGTATTCCTACCATATTTCCTTTAAAACATAGAAGAGTGATTAATGTGCTCATTTAACAGTTTTGCATTTCATAACTCTAGAAAAACCCCGCTGACAATGTGCACATCTAGATGGATACAGTGCAAATCAAAAGCCAGAGTATCTGGCAAAAGGATGTCTGTTCGTCAATATAAATATTGTTTTGCTCCAGTACGTGTGAAGTTTCCAAGGCACACTGACACAATTGTAAGGAATTTTGTAGCTTAATGTTATTACCATATTTAGCACTCTTTATTCTTCATCTAAAAGTTTTTTAAAAAAACATTTCTAGGACCGGATACGCATGTTGCAACACAACATAAGAGAAATATTTTAGTTTAACTCTATAAATTCTGGATTATTTAGCTTTTTGAAACATGTGTTGTTTTGTGTTATTAATGTCTCACAGACCACGCAAAAAAGGCTCAATTTTTCATCATTCAAAAATGAAATCTTTTGCCAATATACTGGAGTGTGTCAACACAGGTCCAGTGAGCGATACTGGCAGATGCTGCCAGAGGGAAATTAGAAGAACGAATACCTAGATAGGAAGTGTTTCATTAATACTGAAAATTAAGACATTTTCTGTATTTTCCCTGAAACCCACCCTCCAAAAATTTCCTCACCTATTTCACTGGGGAGCAGACCCTAATCAACACATTCCCTTTCAGTATCTGCAAGTACAAAGGACATATCATGAAGACTTCTAGGAAATGGGATTTAAAAAAACATTTACAGAGGCATTAGTGTGTAACCTAACACAAGGAATGTGTCAGTTACAAAGTTCATAATTTTGGCTGTCCTAACCAATGTCCAGTCCACAGCAACAGCAAAAAGGTACTATCTACCACACCGTAGATGTATCTTCTGCAAAGAATGGAATTTTAGTCTTCCGATACAATGTCACTTTCCAAACCTTAAACAAGGAAGAAAAAATATCTAGAATAATAATATCACTGAACTTGGGGCCTATGCTTTACTAAGAGAAAATACCTATCAACTAGCCCCAACAAAGATATTTCTATGGAAATAAGCCTGTATATTTATATGTATGTAAATTTATAAAGATCTATTTTTTATTCATAAATATTTAACAACAATACTGCTACTACTACTACTACTACTACTAATCATCATCATTATCATAATCATCATTTCTAAACCGAAAAACTTTGTATACTTCTAAGAAAACAAAAAGGGTTTATGCCTTCTTTTGGCACGCGTGTGACTGCAGAACCTGTTTTATTTGAGACTGCAACTGAAACCCCACTTCCTCCACCTCCTAACTCAATAAAGACTTACAAATACTTACAATTTGGAAGTTGCTGGAATCTCACAAAAGGTATGAAAGAAAAGAAAGCCTATTGTCAGTAGTGGTACATTGGGTAAAAGTGGTCAGATGGAAAATGATAGGGGTCTGCAAGTTGAAAAAATTTAGTCACTGCTCAAGAACGCAGTTCCAAATGCATTCCACTTTTCAGCATTCAAGTAACTTATGCACATGACTGATTCAACTCTCGCAGTCGAAACATCTTGCCACAAGCTATGGCTGCAGGAAACAGTATTTTTAAAATTAGTTTTCAGGAAGAGTGTATGAGATCGTATTTGCAGCCATACGTACACTGGATCAGAGGGCCCATGTTGAGAGTTACAAAGGAGAAAGCACCTGGATAGAAACATCCTTCACTATTGCTTCAAAAGGGCATGTTTGATAAGATGTTTAACAAAATTAAAACTTGTTGTTCCACTTACTTTCAATTAGCCACTATCAAAATGTGTACTCATTTTAAATGTGTATTCCTGTACTAGGATGCTGAAAACAGAAAACACTTTTGCAACTTAAGACAACTTGCTTCATAAAGGTTTTTCTGGCTGTACTTAAATGACAATTGTACAGCAAAATCAACCCACACTGCAGTTTGACTACTCTTACACTAAAACAAAAGTCTGGTTTTGGAAAGATGTTCTAGTCATCATTTCCTTTAAAATAAAACTAGTTATTCACACAGGGGGCAGGTTTAACAGCAATTTTACAGAAAGGTGGAACAAATCTTGCTCCTTCCAAGGCGACTTTGGTTCCCTCGGTGCCTTCCTGAAGCACTGTCCAAACTAGAATTTCGTCCAATTAAAATCACCCAGTCAAAAAGAGATTTCATCGATTTCAACTACGACACGTTTATTTTTATTGCCAGAATCTTGTAGCTACACTTGATTTGGAAACTCCTGATTAATTATGTCGCTGTAATCCCGTGAGTTGCTAACAGCTGCTCTGGAAGAATGAGCAAAAGACAGTTTTTTTCTATAGGCCACCTTGGACTTCTGCTACTTCAGACTGCTTAAGTCGAGTCAATGGCTTCCTGAACTGAGCTAAGGAAAGGAGGTCTTGTCTTCTCGACAGCTGCACCTTCCCAGCCTCCTCCACTTTTCCTGGCTTTGGCTTTCAGATGACCGAGTAGGAAACCATTCAAGGAGCTGATACAGCAATCCAGCAAAAAGAAGCCATCAACTTTCAGCCACGGTGGCTCCCTGAAGCATCACCCAGTCCAGCTGAGTGAGCGCTGGCACAAGGGACAGTGAGGAACTGCAGCTGGCTCAACTTAGACCATCAAGAACTCCTGCAGAAATAAACCCTAAGTGTTTCTGCCTTCTTGTAACATCAGCATTGGCTGAAAAGGAGATAGAAAAGTCAAGAAAAGCACCTTGAGTGACTCCTGTCTATTTTAAGTGCTCATACCTGCACAGTCGTGGTCCTAACGTAATGAGGTAGAGGGGACGGTGCTTCAACAACCAGCCCTTGCTGCAAAACTCCCAAACACAGGCAAGTAGGCAAGTCTGGGCATAGTGTTATGAAACAGTATTTTGCAGCAGTATTTTTTTGAATTGGTGAGACCAAGGTTAGTGTGATGGAATGTAAACTGTTACAGTTTAACTTTTATAGTAATCTAAAAACACTGAGCAAGGTTAAGTTCAGCAGCGCTCTTCAGAGCGCCTCCAGTGAGTGCTCTGAAGCACTAGCTGCTTCTCTTCTTCAGATCTCTTCTTCCTCATTAATTTTTCAGCTCTTGCACGAATGTTAAACTCAAGTACAATGTAATCTTTTAGAATTACTGGACAAGGGTGTCTACCTGTTGAGTTCCTTGTTAATGTGCCATACCATCCTAAAAGAGGGGAAAAAAAACCTCTCTGACATTTTTGTCTGGAAACCATAAATCCATACCATATTGTATTCATTTCCGCTAATAAACAAACTTATAAAGGGAACACACCCCTGAACCACAAAGAGATTTTAATCTGACTCTTTCTGTAAACTGATCCAGCCTGATCTGTCTGATCCATGAACCATACAAAAATCTTCTGAGTTATTTTAAATCCTGATTTGCAAGGTTTTATGTTCAATTCAAGACATTTCCACCAAGAGAAGGTAAATTGGTTCAAAATCTAGTAGACAGTCTTAAAAATAAGCTGCTAAAACAAATTCTCTGTGCTTATAAAAATATTCCGATGTGCACATAAACATTTTGCTTCACTATTACATGCAAACAAACCTTTTAGAACACAGGAGAAACATAATTCATGTTTACATGTAGATTACACTCACATATTTCAATAAACAGAAGAGAACTGGTCATTCACTTGTTTGAGAAATCAGTGAGGACACCAACTATGCTGATAGCATCAGATCTGAATCAAAACCAGTTGTACTAATGGCAATGTGCTTATTGCTTTCAAACAACTACTCACAAAGCAGTGCAAAAACTGGTAGACCCAGTTACAGTAACAGTAGTTTGGAATGGACAAGATGAGGCGTATCACATTAAGAAATGCTTAGAGAAAAATGAAAGATGAGGAAGTTGATATGGGCTATTATAATTGAAGGATACCTACACGTTTTAATCACATGAAGCTCACAGTCAGGACAGACGGCTTATCACAACTCCCAGATACTCTCCTGAACCTGTCCTGTGGCCTTCATGTCAGTATGGCCTTCAAGATTCTGCTCGTGCTTTTAATAGATCTCACAGTACTACTCCAAATCACGACAGAACCATCGCTTTCTTTTGAAAATATTTTTTGTGGTTAATCATCCAACTACAAAGGAACTCCTCCAGAAACTTTTGGGTTATAAGTGTGGAAATCTTCGAAGCGAATTCAGAAGACAGACTACAATAACAGACAGACCCTCATCCCAAGCCTTTGCTTACTTTACCGCATAAGGAGACAAGCTCAGTTTGCCCAAGTCAACCAGAAGTAGAATAACACGAGTAGCCAGCAGAGCTCATTTGTAAACATGTCTTCCAGTCAATGGACACTCAGTGAAATGGGTTTCTCAGCAATATCATATAAATATATAAACATATAAATGTTTAACCATGGCTTGCTGCATCCATATAAGGCAAAGCAGCCAGTGTGCCTGATTAAATAGTAGTAAAATCTGTGTAATTCCTTGAGCTCTACCACATATGGAGAACAGCAATTCCATGAAAACACACGGCACAGATCCTTCTTCCCTGATCCTAAGTCTCTCTTGTCAGGTGCAGGAGGCTTGGTACCGCAACACAGGCATGAAAACAGCTATACGGGCAGGGAAAGGGAAGGTACTGGAAGCTCAGGATTGTATCAGTAACCCACAACCAGAAGTCCTGGAAGAAGAGCACACGCGATGGAGACAAAACAGGAAAAAACCACCAAGAAATCAGAAAAAACAACCAAGAGAGGAATTACAGAATTACAGAATCTTCTAGGTTGGAAGGGACCTTAAAGATCATCTTGTCCAACCGTCAACCTAACTGACAAAAATAGACACCCACACAACAAACAAGGAGCATCATCACTAAACCATACCTCCCAGCACTACATCAACCCATCTTTTGAACACCTCCAGGGATGGAAGACTAAGACCTCAATGGTTAAATATAAGGATGTAAGAGAAATGAGGAAAGAGAGGAAAGGGTGTCTAACTGGGCCAGGAAATGGAAACCAGTGATGTGAAGAAAAATGCTGAGATGAAGAGATGTCACTTCTGATAAGGAACAACTGGGGAAGAGGGAGAAGGCAGAAGAAAAGAAGCAGGACTAGAAAAGACAGAGGTAAAGGACCTGCATTCTTTCCATGGGGAGGGAGTCTATAACAGAGCCCCAGATTTTAGGTAAACATCTTTTCACTTTTGCTGTCATATGTCTATGAAGTCTATTAACAGTCTCTTCCTCACCCACAAAGGGCTGACCACCTGTTCAGAGTAACACGAGTAACAGCGTCAAATGGGATCTCAAAGTGGTTGTCCCTATGTGAGAATGTGCTTTGCTCTCAGTTTGCTTTGAAAAGCTAAGGCAGTACACCCAAAACTGTTAAAAGCACATTAAGTTGAACACATTTGAGCCTTCAAACAGCTTATGGTCTCAATTCAGCCTTTTGGCATTCACATTCCAGTTCTAGGTGGAATCACAGAATGGCCTTTTCAGTTTCCAAAAGAGTTATAATTAAGTAAGATCTGAGTGATGTGAATAAGAATGACTGTAGAGGATGTGGTTTTCTATAAGACCTTTCTCTCACTGCAGATGTTGGCAGGGGCAAACAAGCCAAACATTGTCAGAACAGAAGAGGACTCTGCTCCTGACTCCTTTAGCGCTCACACCAGAAAGTGAAGCCACTGGGAGACATACTTTGTTCAAGTACTCTCATCTGAAAAATTACTTCAGGGGGAGGCACACATTTTCAAATACAGAGGAAACCCAACAGATACTGCTAACTCTAATCACAGTGGCCATTGCATACCTCATGAAGGTACAGTTAGAATAAAACCCACTTAGTATTTCTGTGCATTGGACACTGAGCTGACTTCACAGGAAAATAATCCTTTGTTTTCAACACAAGGTTTGAAGACTATGCAATGAGTAAGACAGATGGCAACATACATAACAAAATAGTGAAGAGCAGCTCACAGCAAGTCTGATTCCTCCTGAAAGTGACGCCAGTCCCAAGGGGGAAAGTTGACAAACAAAGAATGTACATCCCACATATAACTAAAGCTGACTGAATGCAGACTGTACAAACAAGTCTTATTTTGGCATTTTCTGGCTTTGGAGTTTCCTATTTTTGCAACACTAATCAGAAGAACTATGTGCGATTGTGCAAACTTCTATTTATTACTACTCCCAACACAACCAAGTTTTTGCAAGTGAGTATATACAGCATGTGAACAGAGTAAAGATAAAGTTTATGAAAAGCCACAAAGCACTATGACACACACCACTAAGTATTCAGCAGATACAAACAGCAATGAAATTCTGCATCAGGACTGAAGAGGGAGCGGAAACTGAACTAAAATATGTTTGATTAATAAGAAAGTGATCATGAAATTATACAGCTATTAAGGTTGTGACAATAAGTCCACCCATTCTGCAGCGACAAAGTGAGTGAAAAAAACCCCACAGCAATAAAAAGCATCACTCAACTAGGTTTACGAGAACCCAGGAATATAAATATGAAAGACAGCACTATCCTAAGAAATCTAATGCACAAACAGGATACATTATTATTTCTTACGATGAGGGTGAAACACTGGAACAATTTGCCCAGAGATGTTGTGGATGCCCCATCCCTGGAGGCGTTCAAGGCCAGGCTGGATGGGGCTTGGAGCAACCTACTTTAGTGAGATGTCCCTGCCCATGTCAGGGGGATTGGACTAGATGATCTTTGAAGGCCCTCTCCAACACAAACCATTCTATGATTGTATACATGAACAAGCCTGAGGAATAGAAAATACACCAGTGAAGACTACCTAATTGTAGGTGCTCTTTGCACTTACTTCTAAAACCAGGATATGTATGCACAGATGAATTAACCACCTACACATTTTACCTGTGTAGAGGATATCAAAAAAAGAATACATGCATGTGTCAAATAAAAATATGTTTATACAAATGCCTTGTTTCAGTTGATGTATTTTAGACCCCATGTTACCATTACATTTTCCTTAGTAACTATGAGAGCTGTGTTAATATTAATTCCACACGGGCAAAATTTTAACGCACTGGTCAGGTGCATCAAGAACTTCTGAAATATTTTCCTGATTGAAGAACTTGAGTAACGACCAGGGTAACGCTTGGTTCAAAGACAACTAACCAATAGGATGTGCTATATGCGGGCAGCATCCCCTACAACTGAGACAGTAGTATGATGAAACCAGATAGATATTTTTTTTAGTATTACTGTGGACAGCAATGAAGTTATCTTCCTGTATTAAACTTCAGGAGATGGCGGTTCATAAATCAACTGCTAGCTCCTAGGTAACGTGTAGTCAAGTTAGACATTTGCTTGGGAAACTGTTCTGCACTAGTAAGATCCAGCAAAATACTAGCTGAATTTATTTTAAAATAGGAACATAATGGAGGGGTTTGGGCAAGTTTGCTGCATCTCTCATGTCCTTACCCCAAAATCAGTCTACGTATCTACAGTAGCAGTACGATGGCCTCTACTACAAGTACCTATTTGAGCAACTTCATTTCCTGCAGAACTAAATATGTGAAGAAATGTGTTGTGTGCAAAGATCTCATACCTTTTATACCTGCTTGAAACCATCCTGGAGGTGTCCTAAAAGAAAAAGAAAGGAAAAACTAATTAACATTTTTCTTGTATCTGTATTTCCAAAATACTTTATCACTCCATAGAAAACAAAGCCTGCAGTTAAGAGCAAGAGGCCCACACGTCAAACAGCTGCTGTACGACTCAGTTTTGCACTATTTTGCTGTCAGGAACAGACAGAATACCAGGATTATTGCCACCGTGTTAGCTTCTGGTTACATCTTAACACTGGATGCCCCTACTCAGTTCCCCAGCATCCAGAGCAGGCAGCTTACCAAACCAGTATGCACCCTGCCACCAATACGCCTTCTCCACCACTACTAACACAAGATGCTTGTGCACTTTGACAGCTGCTCGTCCCCTTGTCCAAGAGCAGCAGAGCAAAACTGTTCTGATTTTTCGGCACCGCTGATGTCCTTCTGGATGGAACAAAAACTGAAGCTGGCACGTAGTCAGGGTTGAGACCCACATCAATTTATGACGTATCAGCTGGGTCACAGTAACTACAGGCATGCTCTTGGCCGTGCTAACCCAGGTGTGGCAACCTGGCTCACCTCAGTCTCTCAGGCTACCCGAAGAGGTCTTCCCCTGGCATCTGTTGTTAAGCAGGTAAGCTAGAAGTCAGCAGGCAGATGATGCCTGCACTCAAATACCAGACAGTGACTTGTCAAGCTACAGTAAGCCAATTTTTAGATCATTGCTGTCTAAACACCTGCAGAGGCTTAATGCATTTTGACTGGACTAGATGGACCAGATGATCTCTATGGTCCCTTCCAACTCTAAAAATTCAGTGAAATTCAGTGACTGCAGACTTAAATACTCCTCTGCATCTCCTTTGATAGCTTTTGGAAACTATCGTAACTGAAACTGCAAGAAACAGAATACACTTTAAACAAGAGCACAGATTTTAAATATGAGTTCAACAGTGCAAGAGCTGTGCATCTGGCCCTTCAAAGATGCATACATGGATCACTTGCAGATTACGAGTTTTATCATAGTTTTTCTATCTTAAGGCAAAAAATTTCATTACTTTTCAGATTCCCACAATGCAGTAAGATGACTTCACTAAGATTACATTTTGTTTGGGTTTTTTAGGGCTTGAGGGGGGTTGTGTTTTTGTTTGTCTGTTTTAATTTGAAAAAAAATTCATCACACTTTTATTCTGGCTCTGTAAAGACAGAAATGGAAACAAAAAGAACAGTGGGAAAAAGGGCTCATTTATTGTTACACAATCCCTGAATAAACATCGATGCATTATGTACCAATGAGGAAAGAATATATTACCATCAATAATGCTATGCTCATAGCTTCCCAATACCAGACTGATCACAAAAATATTAAGACGTGTTTCAACTGGTAAACAGTGGTTTAGATTAGACAAAGTAAATCCACAAGTATTTTTTAGGATGTTGTAAGAACATGAACCAATTACTTTATTAGTCATAGACAAAGCTCCCCCCAGCATCAGCAAACATTCGGTAAAAAGTCAGTAAAGAATATTTAAGGAGTTAATGAACTGAACAATTGCCTTTAGTGGAAAAAATAATGGCAAAGCATGAAATTCTGTCTATTTATGACACTAACTGCAGACAAAGGAATAAATGAGTTCTCAAAATAAGGTACAAGAGAAATTCCATCCACTCTGAAAATCCTACAAAACATTCCACTACCTCCACTGCTCAGTACAATATCTTTGTAAGTAAATAAAAAAGCTAAATGAATAGGATAAAAGTAGTATTTTATTACAGAAAATAAAGTTGGCAAAAAATATTTGTATTACAGAAACTTCATCTTAAAATTGCGTTTTATTTTATGAAGCATTTTCAGCTTTTGCAATATTTGCTATGCTTTCCCTAACGTAAGCATAAGAACAATATTCAACCAAGTTAAGTTATGGGAATTATTTAAAGAAACACACAAAGTGATGTAAAATTGCTGTTTTAACACTGACAACTATTTCATTATTGATGACAACATCTGAAAAGTAGCAATTCAGAGCTGTGAAGCAGCAACATAATTTCACCTCTAAAAGGGCAAAGAAACATAATTTTAAATGGTACCAGTTCTATTTTTAGTTTACTAAGGGTACGTTATCTTTTGAAAGGTCATGGCAGTAGGGGGAGGTTTCTGAGGACTGGAAGGAGGTAAATGTCAGTCTTATCTCCAAACAAAGGAAGATCCAGGGGACTCCAGCCCAGTCCTTACCACAGTCCTTGAGTAGGGGATGGAACAAATCCTGAAGTACAAGAAGGTGAAATCAGCATGGGTATATGAAGGGGAAATCATGACCGATTGACCTAGCAGCCTTCTACAACAAGATGACTGGCCCAGTGGATGAAGGGAGAGCAGGTGATATTTATCTCGGTTTTAGCAAGGCTTTCAACACCTTCCCACGTAATATATGTATAGCCAAACTGCTGAAATATGGATCAGGTAAGTAGACTGTGAGGTGCAATGAAAAGTGACTGGACTGCCAGGCCCAAAGGGTTACAACAGCAGCATCTGGATGCCAGTCACTTAGCAGGGGTCGATACAGGCACCAGTATTATTTAGCATCTTCATTAATGACCTGAGTGATAGGACAAAGGGCACCCCTAGCAAGTTCACAGACTACACAAAACTTGGATGAGCAGTTAATCATGCATCAGATGTCTGTGCTGCCACACAGAGGGACACTGACAGGCTGGAAAATGGGCTAAGAGAGACCTCATGAAGTTCAAAAAAAGGGAAATGCAAAGTCTTGCACCTGGGGAGGAATAATCCCAAGCACCAGTTACATGCTGTGGACTGGCTGGAAAGCTGCTGTGCAGAAAAGGAGCTGGGGATCCTGGTGGACACCAAGTTGAACACGAGTCATCAGTGTGTCCTTGCAGCAAAGAAGGCCAATGGCATCCTCAGGATGTGCTGCCAGCGGGTCAAGGGAGGTGACCCTTCCCCTCTGCTCAGCCCTGGAGAGACCACAGCTGGAGTGCCAGGTCCAGTTCTGCACTTCTCAGTATGAGAAGGACATACTGGAGAGACTCCAGCAAAAGGCCACACAGATGATTAAAGGTTTGGAGCATCTGACACTTGAAGAGAAGCTGGAAGTGCTGGGAATATTCAGCCTGGAGAAGAGAATGCTCAGGGGGTATCTTGCCAATGTGTATAAACACCTGAGGGGCTAAAGAAGATGGAGTCATACTCCACTGTGCCCAGATGACAGGCAATAGACAGAAATTGAAATACAAGAAATGAAACATAAGAAAATACTTTCTTACTGTGAGATTAAACACTGAAGCAAGTTGCATAGAGAGGTTACGGAGTTTCTATCTATTATGGAGATAATAAAAACCCAACTGGCCACAGTCCAGAGCAATTTGCTATACCAAAACCCTTTGTCTGTAAGGGTTGGACTAGAGACTTTCCAAGATACCTTCCAGCCTTAATGATTCTTTCTGTGCTTCTACTCTGCTTGCCTGATTTTCCCATCTGCATTCTTTTCTGAGCTAGTGAGTTAAGTGAGTTTAAACTAACTCCAACTCAGTGAGTTTAAGTCTCACTAACATCTGGCAGCTTCAGAGGATTTCATTCTGCCCTCTCATACTGTTACCTAGGGACCTGACAATCTCAATTTTTACATAAAGCGGACTGTAGTGGCCTGATTTTTAGCTTTAAAACAGTCAGCAATGGTCATTTGATGTGTGTGAAGAGACTAAAGTAGTTTCATCTAATATGTTAAGATACCTGTTTACTGTATATTAAACCTGAAATGCTGTATCAGTCATATCAGTCACAGCTCTTGGTGGTGATGGTCACAGAAACATCCTGGTTGTCCCATTAGCCATAGACAAGTTGTTCTACTCTCCTTTTAACCTTGGATGGAGAATGAGAAACACAGAGGTGACTGAGTCAAAGTTTTGCCTAACTGGCTGTACATAGAACTCTGCCAATAAAGTGGGAACACTAGTTCCCAGTTCTTACTTTTAGAACAGCTTCTTTTTCAGGAAAATGGTGAAGCCTTTAGGTTACGGCCATGCTTCCTGGTGAACATAAGCCTTTGTTTATGGTGAAAGGCAGAATTCACAAGAAAGGGAGAATTTGCACGCGACAATGCCGTCTAGTGAAGCACACGTACCCTTGTACAAAAAAATCTCTGGATCTTGGATGCTTGTTTTCTACCCTAGACACCAAAGGGATGCAATGTATGCACTGCATACCCTCAAATTTACTAAGACCCTTTCATATAGTACATGCAAACATAAGCTGTAAAGCAATTTATGTAACATAGACTTGTACATTTATCTCAACAGGAGACTTCTAAAAGTTTGGCAGTACTATTCAGAAAAGCCAGTTTTTCAGAAACAGCTGGGAAAGCAAACAAATGCTCGGGGACAAAGTACATGGCAAATACTCTCATTTGCTACAAATGACAGCTGTTAAAACTAAAAAAAAAAAAAAAGAAAAAATTAACTAGCCCTTTGTAACAGATGTTCCTACAGCAAGTATTAGTGGGTTTTATTTTTGTAGTTAAAACTAACTATGAACAAAACATTAAAAATACACATCTCATGCATAAAAACCATTTTGTCTGATAACCAAATTAATGCAGCAGATTTGCTAAATTGTGACTTTTATCATTTTGGAATCTCTAATGTAAACGCAAACCAATCATCCTTTTAAGGTGATGATGCAAGAACCAGGGAAATATATTATCTCTGTTCTCACGTTACGAATGTCGGGCAGTTGGAACTAGATGATCTTTAAGGTCCCTTCCAACCTGAACCATTCTATGATTCTATGACATACATCAGCATTGCTCCAGAAAACTGGTCGTGCTCCCTTTTCATCATGTCTACAGAATTGTTTGCGCAGCCACGTATTAATGCATGACAGAGCGTGATCTAAGTGATAAAACTCAAGGAAAAAGCAAAGATTTGTCTCATTCCACATCAGCTCCTTCATCTGATTCCCCACACAGCCTAACACACGCACCTGCTGCACAAGAGAACTTGTAAGGGCAGAAAAGGCAG